CTAGGTTGAGGTTTCCGATGTAATTGCAAATAAGAGAGCAGGACCTTAAGTGACCATCATCCAAAGTGAGCGGTTCGAGTTTTTTGAGACATTAGAAAATAGAAAATACAACTACATGTAATCAAAAAAAGAAATAAATACTTGCTGCCTGCTATTTGAGACATTAGACGTGGAGAAAATTTATTGGTGTTTTATCTTGAGTTTAATTTACAGTAATTTTGATATTGTGCTTTGTCATTCACATATATCTTGCTGTAAATTTTTTTGTTCTCAATTTTGGCTCTTTACTGCTGTCGCTGGAGCTATGAATCACAATTGCATGAGTCATACTTTTTTCCATTGTTGACGATTTTTTGGTGCACGGTACTTTACTACCCCTATCTTGACGCTCATACATATTGGATGATAACGTTATTGATAATTTAACGACCTTGACGCTCTTATTGATAAAGTTATTGATAAAATTATTGATTCATTGTTATTTATTCATATATATCTTTTTTTTCCTTTTCATAATCCTCTACTCTTAACTCACCTTCTTGTCTATGTGATTCATATATGTCTTGTTCACTCATTGTTCTTGATTCACATATATCTTATTGATAAGGTTATTGACACTCATACATAGATAGCCATTGTATGATTCATTGTTCCTCTATGTAGCAAGTCGGTGACTAATAGGTAGGAGATCTCGTACATATCTGGATAGATACTTAGCTCTTGCAGTGAATTAATATTTACCCAAGCAGAAGTTCAGCGTATATCTTTTTTTTGCCAAGCCCTTTTTGAACGGTTTTTTTTTTCATTAAATATCACAATAAAACTCACTACATTTCAGTAAATTTCAGTGAATTTAACTCAAAAATAGTTCGCTCTTTCTTTTTGAAACCTCGTGCACATAGCAACCACCCACCTTAACCACTTGGCCAAAGTGAAGTGGCAATTGTTTCTCTAATAATAAAATAAAATAAAATAAAATTAAGAAAAAAATTGCTGCTTAATTTTTTTAGAGCGAGATATTGAGGAAAATTAGTGCATATTTTATTGGATTATTGAAAATTGTTATGCACACAACAACTATTCAAGTAAAGATTGTTATATCAACTGCATGCATTTTTTTTTTTGTGGCTTATAATTTAGGGATTTTTCACATATTTTATTTGCATAATTATTCTATGCTTTGTCCCTTTTTTCTTTTTTTTAGTAAGAAAATTTCATGAGCTTGATTTTGTGAATTCATTTTTTTTGTAAATATGTTATGCCATATATTTTGTTGAAAATATCAAATATCATTCCAGACTCTCTCGCTGGTGCTAAGACATATTCACATACTTATGAAATTTATTTTTATGCAAAATTTGACATAAAGCAATTGCTGTGTTACTTTATTGATTTTTTATTGTAGCATAGCAGTGCAAACATAAACTATTCGAGAAAATTTTTCTTTGAGGTTGCAGCTCACTGAGAGTCGGCAAGCTTATTGATTTAGCTAGCAGACAACGTTTTTCTTAAACATAATTAAATTTTTGAACTTTTAGGTATTATCTAAAAATTTAAAATGACATCTAGGGTAGTTATGTCAGAGCTACTAAACTTGAAAAACTCAATGGGACCAATTTTTTTATGTGGAAAAGAAAAATTGGATATATTTTTTTCCAAGATAGGGTAGATTATGTCTTAGAAACAAAATGACCAGTTTTAGAGCCTAATATCAATGGTCAAGTCAGAAGGCAAATTAAAAAATGTTTAGAAGATGATAAAGTAACTAGGACTACTATGTTGAGCTTTATAGATGATGATTTAATTAGAGTCTTTGAGGATCACACCACAACACAAATTATGATGGGCGCCCTATTTGAAAAGTATGGGACCACTTCTGATACCCATGTACAATTGTTCTTGGAAAAATACAATTTTTGCAGAATGAAAGAATCAGACTCAGTGACCGAGTATATCAATAAAATGACAGTGCTCGCAAAGGACCTTGCTGTAGCCAGGAATCCAGTCCCCGATCGTATGTAAGTATCCATTGTCCTTAACAATCTTCATCTATCTTGGGAGTCTGTTGTAATTACAGAGAACCATTATGCACAAGGGATAACCATGTTAAATCTTTCCATGCATCTTAGTATTGAAGCAGAGAGAAGAATGAGGAAGAAGTCAAATGAGCTCCATTTTGCCCAAACTTCATCTTCTCAGATCCCCAAGAAACCTTTCAATTATCAGAAAAATAATAGATATAACGGAAATGAGAGAAATTTTAAAAAATCAAAAGATTAAGGTTGAGAAGGCTTGCTTTTATTATAAAGAAATGGGGCACATCAAATTTAATTGTCCTAAGTTGAAAAACAAAAATAGGAACCATAAGAACAACCATGCTCGAAATAATCAAAATAAGAGAAATGACTTGATCTGCATAATCCTAGAATCAATAGTTGCCGACCATGACCTGAGAAATTAGTGGGTCAACTCAGCCTCCACCCGACATGTCTCGAGGACTAATGATGGATTCACAGAATTGAAGGAGATTGCAGCCGGTAACCAGCGGATTTATATGGGAAATGACATCTACTACGATTTCTAGGTGCCGGTACTTTCAAGCTGTGTTTACTAAGAAGAACACATCTCTTAGTGACTGATGCACTGTATGCGCCCAATATGAGGCGTAATTTGATTTTTGTCCCTAGGTTAGACGACAAGGGTTATGAAATAAGATTCAGATCTAATCGGGTTACCATTGGGAAGCATTCTAGAGCATTGGTGTATGGTATTAAAGTTGACAATTTGCACCGACTGAATATTAATGAAAGTTCATAATTTTCTGGTTATATTGATGCCTCTTTTGATGCTTTTATGTATATGGATAATCCACATTTATGACACTTTAGATTAAAACATATAAATAAAGATAAAATGAATCAAATAGTTAAAAGATATTTGCTCCCCAATTTAAGAGAAATTGTGTTCAAAACATTCGAACCATGTATTTCTGATAAATTAACTAAAAAACCTTTCCCTAAATAAAAAAGGTATAGTAAAATTAGTCACCATAAATACATGTATGAACTACTTTGCCATAAATTATTCATTAAATTAACCAAAGACATATTTTTTATGCAACGCAGGAAGAACGTAACAGCTGTCCACCTCGATTTTTGTAGTGAATATTTGGACAGGCAGCATATGCACAAGAACTATGCTTTTCAATTCTCATACGTCACATGCTATGTCACATTTTACGCGAGAACAATATTTACTTATTCTCATATTTCACCTACTTTGTCACGTTCTACGCGTAATATTTCAACGGTCAATAGTAGTACAAACATAGTTCTATATAATATGACATTTAGCTAGTTACAAAATTTAAAGATGAGCTATCGAAATAGTGCCGAGATGCACTGTAAGGAGGGCACAAACGTTCTGGTAATGACAAGGAATGCAACATTTTCTAGCTTTTAAACCACAAGAATCTAGTCTTTATGTCCAAAAGATAAAAAAAAACTGAATTTTTTCAACTCGGAAATGAATTTAATCATTAGTATCACTTCATTGGCCTCGCTCTTGTTATTTCCCAACAAATTGTCTACCTATGAAAAATAAACTCGTCCTCTACTTGCATATGCTCATTCTAATTCTAGGGTCATTATTGGGTTTGAAAAAAAAAAAAAAACCGACAGATACATTCTACACGTGATTGAGAAAATATCCTAAGATGGAATAGAACTAGAGACCGTCCAATTTTTGGACTGTTAGGCCTAAGTATTTAGAGCAATTTAAAAAGTTCCTTTGAAGCACCTCTTATATATTACATATGCACAAAGGATAGAATCAAGAAAATGGCTTATGAACCTAGAATCGACCTCAGTAATTGTAATCGACCTGCATAGAAAAGAGAAAGAGCCTGCCATATTCCTATCCTGCCAATGAACTTCCCTACCAAGCTCTGGCAATTGTAATGCTTCAGGTTGCCATGAAACAACGGCAATCCCAAGTAGCTCGCCTGTAGTGAACCCTCTCCAAACCCCAATTCTTTCAAGATCAAGTGTTTGGTACTCATTGAAACCCCAAAGAAAAAAATCTTACCTTTTAGTTACTTTCAGTTTCTGCCCAGTGATCTTACCAAAACTTTTAGTTACCAATCCCAAGTGGCTCGCCTGTAGTGAACCCTCTCCAAACCCCAATTCTTTCAAGATCAAGTGTTTGGTACTCATTGAAACCCCAAAGAAAAAAATCTTACCTTTTAGTTACTTTCAGTTTCTGCCCAGTGATCTTACCAAAACTAGAAAGCATAGAATTTATCTGTCTAGATGCTAGTACAGAAGAATCACAGAAAATTTAAGTTAATTCTTTCGACAATAAAATTTCATTTTAAAGATAATTATCAGATATCACCCCCCTAAAAATTGAAATATTATCTCATCACCTGTACCGTCTGATGACACTGTTGGACGACTGGGGTTTTCCACTCCCATGTAGATGCACATCAGAAGTTATGTTTGGCCCTTTCGTGTAGACCAGTCAGTAAGCGGGGTCTTTTTTTTGGTATGATTTAGGAGATTTAACATTTAGGTGCCATCTTTGTTTTGATGGGAGAATCACACGACATTAATTTACCTGAACGCATGAGTGGAAAAGAAAAGGAAAATTTATCCTTTTGTAGTTACTATATGAACCATCTAACATTTTACCCTTTGGGAATTAGATAAAAAAAAAGATCGGTTAAAAAGTAAAAGTTTATATATAGCCGAGGCTCTAAACAATCAAATTAAAGTCTATCTCAAAATTTTTATTAGAAGAGGTTGTTTTGGTGCGCAAATATCCTCAAATTGATCATCTGAACATCAAGATGCATTGATATAAGAAAAAAATAGATTTGACATTTTGGAAATAGTGCATATTGTAAAGCATTTTTGAACTGTCGATTTTCAAAATTTTCAAGTTCTCATAGATATGTTCCATCTGCACTATTTTTAAAACTTTAAATTTTATAATTAAGAATAAAAATATAATTTAAGAGGAACCGTTTGTAGTCAAATGTTTTATTTGTTTTCATGTTATTGGATATTCTTAAGAAATTAAGCTAAAGCTGCGGCAGACTTCTTATAAGAATATCTCGATTCTTCTCATCAATGTTATATGGTTCATGCGTGATCTGAAAGACCACCTGTATATCGATTAAGTGGAGCCTCTCCAGCTCTAAGAAGTCCTTAACACTGTCAGATTACAAATATGCAAGGTAGGGAGCAATCGTACAGGCAATGGGTTATTGATGTAGTGAATGGGAATGTCAAATTAAACCGAGAGGAAGAGGCGGAGGAATGGACACATCGTTGTATTTACAAAGGGTCCTTCACTCCCAGGCTTGTTTCGCTGGGTCCACTGCACCACGGCAGCCCTCACCTCCAACCCATGGAGCACCACAAGCGTCGTGCACTCCTCTACTTCCTTGATCGCTCGAAACACTCGCCCGACGTCTACCTCAAAGCCCTCTAAGCTGTGGAGCGGAAGCTCAGGGCCTGCTATGAGTGGTCTGATGAGCTGCCCGTAATGGAGAGCCCTGACTTCCTTAACATGATGCTGCTTGACGGCTGCTTCTTGCTTGAACTCCACCGCACCACCACAGATGAGGACACATCAGGCTACACAGACAATGACCCGGTGTTCGGCCCCAATAGGGCGGATTTCTTTGCGGACAACAAGACTCACGACCTGGTGCTGTTGGAAAACCAAATCCCGTTGCTGGTCTTGCAGACTTTGTTGGACCCCTTGGGGGGACGCTCCGATGCCGCCGAGGCCCATAAGGTGGCGTATGAGCGCCTTTGGAGTGATAAGTACACTTGGATGAAGGACATTAAGGGGATGCATCCGCTGCATGTTTACCAAATGACGACGCCGTGGTGCGACTTTCCTGAAGTTGAAGAGGGGCTAAGAAACCCGGAGCCGTAATCACAAGAAGGTACCATCAGCCACAGCACTACATGATGCCGGGGTGAAGTTCCAAGTGAGCCCGAACGATGCCAACATAGACATCATTTTCGACGACGGGGTGCTGAAGCTACCCTATCTAGTCATTACCCCAGCTGAGGTTTGTATTCGTTAACACAATCATAAGGATGGCTATTTAACATTTTACAGGTTTTTTGGTTCAATTTCAAAGGCTAGAGAAGGGCTAGAACGTTAAATATCTAAATTATGGATTTTTTGATAATGTTTTCAATAAAAGATAAATTTTTCAATAAAATATAATTTTTCTAACAATTTTACATTAAAGTTTGCACCCTCTTGAAAAAGGGGTTGATTTTTTTTGGTTATTGAGAGGAATTATGTAGGATGTCAAGTCATTTAAGGATGTCAAGTCTTTTAATCCCTACAGCTGCGAGGAGCAAATTATTAAAAGATTTTTGGTAACTCTTAATGCTAAATGGTTATTGCAAGTATTTGAAAAAGCGGATCTGCGACCCGAATCATTCACATCTGTACCTGTGTCGAATCGGTAGATCGGTTTGGAGAATCGGCCGAATCGGCAATTTTTGTTTCAATTTTTTTTTTAAAAAATCACTGTAATTCTCTAAAAATAATGTTTTTTGGATTTCTAAAAGAAATTAGGAGTGGTGCATTATGTATTTTCATTACGTTGTAAAAATAGGTAAATTTTTAGAAGTTGTTTTCCTGTCTGGATATTTGTATAATTATTAATTATAATATAGAATTATAATATTGTATCAAAATAATTTAAAAATATTAGAAAAAACTTCCATATAATTTAAAAATATTTTTAATGTATATAAAAATAATTATATTGACATAAGTTTAACATAATTATATTAATAAATAACAATTTCACATAATTATGTTAATTTTTGTAATTATTATATGCAATTTTGTTATTGTAATTATATGTAATTAAAACTTAATTATATGTACTTTATTTTTGTATATTATAAAAAAGGAATATGTTATTTGTTATTATTTATTAAATTTATAAGTATATTAATTTAAAATTACAATTTAAAGTAAATAAAAATTTCATTATAGCAATAACAATTTTAATATAATTATATAAATAAAAATATTTTTTATATATTTATATTCATTTGAAAATAATATTATTAATGTAATTTTAATGTGATCATATTTACAAAATTAAAATTATATGGTGGAGAGTATGAAATTATTTTTATGAAGTTTCTTAATAGAGGGCCAACTTTTTTAATGTATAATCTAATTTTTATAAATTTATATGAAATATTATTTTGTAATTATATGTAATTGAAACTTACGATTATTACATAAAAAAAACTGATATGCTTCGCAAACGTTGAGTTAAACCCGTGCAAAGGGCAAGTACTTAAAGACTGCTGGCAAGTACTTAAAGACGGCTTACATAGCACTTATGTTGCACTTTTTTGAGCGCACAAGAAAATGTGGGGCAAATTGTCAAAAGCGTTCTTTTCACGACAAGTACTTTTTTAAACCTTGTTTAAAACTCAAGTTTTTGATGGACCAGCGATCCTTCGAAACTAACACAGACTCGTAATTTAAGAAATTTTTAGAATTTAAAAATATAAAGGCCATAATTTAAGCAATTTTTAGAATTTAAAAATATAAAGGGGAACAGCTTCCTTTCACTTTAGGAACAAGTTGTGCGTCAATTGCATGGTCCACGATTAAATAGACCAGGTTCTAAGAAGATATCATAGAAGATATCATATACTCTCTCTCTCTCCATATCATAAACACTTGCAAAGTATTTACGGCTAAACATTTCATTGTGCTTGTGACAATTTGTACCGTTCGAGAGATCGTCGAGGACGATTTTTCCGATCGGGATTTGGCTAATAAAATGTGGGATGAATTATATTAGTTCATTATGATATGTAAAAAAGAAAAATAATTTAACTCATGGGATATTTAAAAGTAAAAAATTATATTACTTTATAGGATATTGTTTTTAAAAAAATATAATACTTGTTTATGAGATATTTTAAAAGAAAATCCTAAAACTACATCCTTGGGCATGGTCACGTTTAGTCCATAAATCCACTTTGAAATTTATTTTCAAGTTGCTCTATCCATTATTCTACATCATATGTATGAATTTATCTATCTATTTTTCTATTAAAGCATGATTACAAGTTCATGTTTATAAACGCTATATTTTACACAAGCTAATTATTACATATTAGGTCTATATATTAGATCCAAAACGATTATATATTTCCTCTTTTTTCACAATAGATTTGGGTCCCTTTTATTGAAATGAGCTGCATTTTAAATTTCATTTGACAGTAAAATGACTGTAATGGATAACAAACATTCAGACATGAGTCAGCTTCTCAGTGCATGTGTATTTTCAATAAAAATAATTAAAAACTGTAATGCAATAAAATTTTTGTTTTTGAAAAAATCTAATAGACTATTTTTTAGGATTTTTGGTTATTTTTCTGAATTTTTGAACGTCAGATCTTGTTGATCTGGCCGATCTTGCAATCCGAATTGTCGATCTACCGATCAGGCCCAGTTTTCGAGATGGGCGATCTATATCACAGATCAATTATTTTCAAACCATGATTACAGGTATTGCAGTAGGTGCAAAGACTAAAGTATTAGTATTCAAATTTGGGAAAAAATATATTTTTGTCAAAGTCAATTCATACAAACAAGAGTGAATTACGTAAAGACACAACAAAAATGATTAAAATATGAAATGAGTCCAATTTTGGGGTAAACTTATGTAGAAGGTTGATCAACCTGATTATTTTATTTGTTTCAAAATTACCCTTTGGTCGAAGGATAGTATCCTCGGACTGCAATTTTTTTTTTTTTTTTTTTTTTTGAGTTTTTCGACAGTAAGGTTGTGCCCTAATGTTTAGGGCAGTGCTCCATTGGTCTAATGATAGCATCATTGGACCGCCTTCTTTGGTGCTTTTCAAAGTGGTCCAAGGTTAGCTTCTTCGGACCGAAAAGACTTACTTTTTTAAGCATTCAAAGGTGGAATGTGCTGCCCATTCTCAAACAGCCTTCTCTAGTGCCTTTCAGGCTGTCTTCTCTAGTGCCTTTCAGGGTGATATGAGGTTAGCATCCTCGGACTGCCTTCATTGGTGCTCTTCAGAGTGGCCCGAGGTTATCAACGTTGGACCGCATTATTTCATCTGTTTGCTAAGAAATATGGTAGTCTGAAGATGCCAACCTTAGACTGGCACTGCCATTCACATTGAAGCATTGCCCTACTAAAGAAAGAAACTAAATAGTAATAATAATTAAAAAAATTATTTGAGGATGCCATCCTAGGACCGAGGGGCAATTTTTTTAAAAAATAAAAAATACGGGTTGACTGATTTTCTGTTTAATTTTCGTCCAAAATTGACCCATTTTGTATTTTTCTATTTTTTGTCCATACATAAATTACTCTACAAACAATATTGATTGAATTTAAATTCATCTAATATTCCATATTCTCTATCCATTTTATGATTCATATTTTATTTGATTTTTCAGAATGCATTTTTTTCCAAGCTTTAATGCCTGTTTGGATGTACCCAAAATTACAATATTTTCAAATGACAAGAAAAAAAGATTAAAATAGAAAGTAACAACCATTTGGATAACCTCATAAAAATTTCTAATTCATCTAGAAAGATGTCACTTTCCCCCAAAACCACGAGTCAAAAACATTTAAGTCGGACTCAAATCTTTTTGGCTTGCTTCGCGTCTCTCTTGAAACTTTACCCTCTCGTGCCCTTTTCTCTTTCTCTAGCCCTCACGCTCTTCCCTCTCCTCCCTGCTTGTACAGAGCAAAGGACTTCCCTCGCATGCTTCTCACTCTCTCTATCTCTCTCTCTTCGCCCTTGCCTTTTTTATGGTCGCCCTTTTTCGCCTGCTCATTTTCTCATCCTTCTCAGGCTTGTTACGCACCTCAATCGACTCTGAATTTCTAAGGTTTTGGATGTGGGGCATTTATTTTGGTGAGGGGAATGGAGACTCGATGCTTCCTGAGAAAGGGGGGGAGGAGTTTCTCTGTGTTGGGATTCTTTGGTGTTGTCTCCGATGACTTCTGCCATTGTTGGGGAAGGAGAATTTGCCGGCTCTTCGTTGTTGTTGGTTTGGAGGAGAGGGAGAGAGCCTTGTTTCGCTTCTGCAATAACTTCCTGAAATTACGAAGGGAGATGGACTATTAGGGCATCAGCCATTTCCTAGGAACACCAGGAACCCTGCGGAGCTTTCCTCTGTATAGTCATATCACAACCATTCTTCTTCCTCTCTCTCTACAGTGATATCACAACCATGGCTTTGTCTCTTTTTAAGTGGGGTAGAGGGCTTTTTGTTAAATCAATGAAATTAGATATCCAAACAGTTTACCAACAAATAATGTTTTTGAATTGAGGTAGAAAAAACATGTACTTGTTTCGTTCTAAATAGTTTTTTTTTTGACATCCAAAATGGCCTAAGGATTTTTAGACCTCTTGGGAACATTGAAAAGAACCTATGAGAGCACTCTAAAGAGAAGGGGAGAAAGAAAGAGAAGAGTCTAGCAAACATTGAAAGAGAAATCAGGATATAGCTACATGGAGAGGGAGGAATTGGTCTTGGGTCAAGGCGGTAACAACTAGAATTTCGTAACACTACATCTCAAGTTTCATTCCTATGTTACCTCATCAAAAAAATAATAGAAAGACACAGAGTGAGAGATTGAGATTCTTTAGAAATAACTTCATCAATTGTAGACATGCTAAAGTCTTTACCGACTGATTTGGGTGACATGTGACATGCGGAGGCCTATGTTGTCTTCAGCGACGTATCTCCTAATCTTATTCCCAGAATCCACACATTACGACCAGGTTGTCTTGATTTTATGGAGTCAAAACAATCATCAGAAACCAGGCTCCCTTGGGGCAATTCCGAGTGAATTCGCCCGACCTAAATCTAAATTGAAAGAAAAAAATGCTGAAAAAGATATATATATATATATATATTAATTTTAAATTCACATAGTATGAAATCCATTTCGGGTTAAAGTAGAGAAATTATCAACAAAAAAAAAAGAAACGAAAAAACTTGGGTCGATCCTTATTTGTTTTAACTTTTTATGGCATTTGGAACAGAAAACCTTTCTATTGAATGTGATGGCTTTCGAGCAGTTGCATGTGGACATGGATAATCCTATCAGCTCATTTATTAAATTGCTGGATGATCTGATAGACACAGCCAAAGATGTCCAATTGCTAGTAGATTGAGGAATAAGAGAAAATAGGATGGAAAGTAACCCGGAGGTGGCTGAGCTCTTCAATCGGGTCATTAAGGGAATGGCCTTTTTTGAGAATGCCAAACTGAAGGGGTTGTGGACCCGGCAGATCCACCACTGCTAGAGGCATCGGAACTTGTGGAGGGCTCGCTTCGTCAACACCCACCTTCGCGACCCATGGACGGTTATAGCATTGCTGGTAGCGGGGCTCCAGTTGTGTCTAACTTTGATTCAAACTGTGTATTCGGTGTTGAGTTATATTAAGTAATTTATGTTGTGTGCGGAAGCTCTAAGCCTGCTGCGTTGATTTTTGGCAAATAAAGTACGAGAAAAAAAATTGGCAAAAACAGGCAACAAGCAACAAAAATAAAGCAGAAAATAAATAGTAGAACAAAAATAGAACACCAGGATTGACGTGGTTCGTCACGGATGTGACTACATCCATGGGTAAAGACGATCGATGTTTTTCACTAAATCAAAGAAAGAAAATTATAAGGTAATTTACTTGATAGAATTAGAGACTCAATCTCTCACAAAGCCTTATTCTCTACAATTTTCTCACTCTGCAAAAAACCCTCAAAATTTTCTCTCTATTTTCTCTATGCACTTTCTCTCTCTACAATATATCTCAATAAGAGAGGACAAACCCGAAAGTGTACCATGTATGGCCTACTTTTTCCAGACATGCTTTCTCTCTCTAGAAAAGCATCTTTATATACAGAGAATAAAGCCCCAAAGACAAGTATGTCAAACCAATCTCAACTTTCCCAACATTATTAAAACGGAACTTTATCCCTATCGATGTGGACCTACGACTCTATCCTAATCTAAGTAGGACTTATCAATAAACTTAGATACTCAATCGTAGGCTCTACCCAAATAAATAGGAAACCTAATTTAAAGAAAACCAATCCCTTAAAATTAGGGATTCAAGAATTCAAGATTAATATCTTCAACTATGATCTCACGAATAAAATGGTGTTTGACATCAATATGCTTCTTCCTTACGTGATATACCAGGGTCTTCGCCAAATGTATTGCACTCTTACTATCACAATAAATAATAGTCTCATCCTGTCGTAACCCCAAATCGCTTGCAAGCCCTCTTAACCAAATTGCTTCTTTTACTGCCTCAGTAACAACCATGTATTCTGCTTTTGTCGTATACAAGGCAACAACAGTTTGTAGCATCGACCTCCAACTAATCGGAGTTCCTGCAAGTGTAACCACATAATCTGCAGTAGATCTTAGAGAGTCCAAATCACCTGCAAAGTCGGCATCAACATAACCAACAACCTTGTCACTAAACCTGTTATCTCTATCAAACATCAGACCCATATCTGATGTACCCCTTAAGTAATGCAGAATCTATTTTACCGCATGCTAATGCTTCTTTCCTAGATTAGCTATAAACTAGCTAACAATACTAATGGCATATGAATTATCTGGACAAGTTCAAACCACTGCATACATAAGGCTTCCAACTGCACTCGCATAGGGAACGCGTGACATGTATTCCTTTTTAGCATCTGAACTTGGAGGTAATGCTGTCGCCAATCTAAAATGTGCAGCACGAGGAGTATCCATTGGCTTTGAATTTTTTATCCCGAATCTAACGAGGACCTTCTCAATGTACTCCTTCTAAAGGAGCTACAATTTACCCAAATTTTGATCTCTACGAATATCCATACCCAAAATTTTCTTTGCTGAACCTAAATCTTTCATTTCAAATTCTTTGGCAAGCTAAGCCTTCAATTTACTAATTTCTAAAGGATTCTTCGCAGTAATAAGCATATAATCCACATAAAGTAATAAATAGATGAACAAACTATCAGTAAATTTCTTAAAATAGACACAATTGTCATACTTAGTTCTGACATATCCGTGTCCAATCATGAATGTATCAAAACGTTTGTTCCACTGCTTAGGAGACTGCTTTAGGCCATACAATGACTTCTTCAACTTGCAAACATGGTCCTCCTTTTCTTTGACTATAAACCTTTCTGGCTCAGTCACATAAATATGTTTTTCTAACTCTTCATAAAGGAATGCAGTCGTCACATCAAGCTGCTCTAAGTCCAAATCAAACAATGAAACCCTGGCTAGTAAAACCCGAATAGAAATGTGTTTCATAACTGGAGAGAAAATATCATTATAATTAGCACCTTCTTTCTGCGCATAGCATTTTGCAACCAAACGTGCCTTAAATCACTCACCACCAGTATCAGGTGACACATATTTCTTCTTATAAACCCATTTGCAACCAATGACTCTTTTGCCTTTAGAAAACTTCTGGAGATCCCAAGTACGATTCTTCTGAAGAGATTCCATTTCTTCATCCATGGCTTCACTCCACATGCTACTGTCAGTATCCCATGTAGCTTCCTTAAAATTGGATGGCTCTTGGCTTGTGGTAGCCAATGCATAAGCCGCCATGTCCTCAAAACTGTGCTACACAACTATCTTTTTTTATTCTCCTTACCTTTCCAAACTGAAGCACTTCCTCAAGTGGAGTAGATCCAACTACATCCTCGTGCTCAACATATTCCTCCACTCTCTCATAGGGAATTTCTAGCACATAATTTTGAATATTTTCTGGACTTGTCAACTCCACCTCAACTGCATCACTATTGCTGTAATTTTTCTTTTCTGCACCATTCTAAATGTGGTTTACCACGGCAGATTCATCAAACTTAACATTACAACTGACAATAAACTTAGGTGACTTAGGATCTAGGCACCCCATTCGCATAACCAAAGAAAATACAGTTCTTTGACTTTTGACTCAACTTATCATCATTCACATCAACATGAGCATGACAACAAAAATTTCTTAAATGAGAATAAGTGACAGGTTTACCGGAGCATACCTCTTTTGAGGTAATGTAATCTATTGTTGTGGATGGTGATCTCTTGACGAGATAACACGCCGTATTGACCGCCTCTGCCCAAAAGTTATTTGACAAACCGCCATTACTCAACAAGCTGTGGGCCTTCTCTAGAATTGTCCTGTTCATGCGCTCAACAACTCTATTCTGGTGCGGTTTCTTTGGAGTGGCAAAGTGACGAACAATTCCTTCGCTTTTGCAAAAATTCACAAACTCCGCTGAACTGTACTCTCCACCATTATCAGTCCTCAAACACTAGACATTCTTTCCAATCATCTTTCAACCATTGCTTTCCACTGCTTGAATGTGTTAAATGCATATGTCTTTTTCTTCAATGTGTAAATTCATACTTTCTTAGAGAAATCATCTATGAAGGAAACAAAGTATAGAGATCCGCCTTTTGAGACAACCGATGCAGGGCCCCAAACATCTAAATGAATATAGTCAAGAATACCGTTTGTTGTATGTTTTGACCTGTGAAACTGCACCCTACACTGCTTACCATAAACACAGTGCTCACAAAAGTCCAACGTGCATTTCTTCATGCCATTGATCAATATGTGTTTGCTAAGTTCTGCCAAACCTTTGTCACCCATGTGGCCCAATCGCATATGCCACAACTGAGTCAAGTCAAACTCACCATCATTAGATACAAAAATTGTTGTTGTATCTGTGATAGTATTCTCAAGCAACACATATAAATTCGGTCTGATCATCTTGCCTTTCATCATAACAAGAGCACAATTAAGAATCTTTAGAACTCCACCTTCTCCAATAAATTTAGAACCATTGGAGTCTAAGGCACCCAGAGAAATAAGATTTTTCTTCAAAACTGGAACGTGTCTCAGATCATTCCATGCTTTGACAACTCCATCATACATCTTGATAGTAATTGTCTACACCAATGGTCTTGCAAGCTGCATCATTCCCTATCGAAATTGATTCACCATTAATGCTCTTATATGCGGTAAACCAATCCCGATGATGACACATATGATTTATTCTGAATTAAGAACCCACAAGTTTTTAGAGTTGTCATAATTTGTCGAGACCGACAATATATTATATGTTCCACTTACTGAGCTTCCATTAACTGTATTGACTACTTCAGAAGCTCGTATTTCTTTCTGTTTGAGTGTCCAACAATCATTCTTAACATGCTCTTTTTTTCTTGCAATAGTTGCAATAAATGTTTATTTTTCTTGATATGGATTTGGATCTAGACTAGCCCTGTTTTTCATGTCTCTTTCCACTTCTCTCAACAGATCTCCCTTTAGCCATTAAACCATTTACATATGGCAGAGCATTATCCTATCTCTTCCTCAAGAGAAAAGTCAAAGTCACATCCTCCATCTCTATGATATCTTTTTCGTAGAGCAATGTTGTGAGGAGATGCTTATACGAATGAGGGAGTGAGGATAATAAAATTATGGCCTTATCCTAATCATCCATCTTAACACCAAAATTCAATACTTTACAAAGAATTTTATTAAAATAATTCAAGTGTTCATGGATATCTGTGCCTTCATTCATCCGTAGGGTGTACAATTTTTGCTTAAAAGACAATCGATTTGTGGGAGACGTCGTGATATACAAACTCTCAAGCTTCGACCAAAGACTTGACATCAAATCATCATTGATGATATTAAATAACACTTCACTATATAAACAAAATCGAATAGTGCGCATAGCCCTCAGATCTAAGTCTTCTTAGCCCTCATCGAACATGTATTCTGGTTTCTTCAACTTTCTTGTCAGAGCATTATGTAAACCTTTTTGCACTAGCAAATGCCAAACATTGATTTCCCAAATTCCAAAATTATTTTTGTCATCAAATTTCTTCACTTCAAATTTTGCATTCAAAACTTTTACCGCCATACCGATAACCCCAAATTGGGCTCTAATACCACTGGTTGTGTGCGGAAGCTCTGAACCCGATGGGTTGATTTTTTGGAAATAAAGTACGAGAAAAAGAATTGACAAAAACAAACAACCAAAATAAAGTAGGAAATAACTAACAAAAAAATAATGAACACCAAGATTTACGTGGTTTGTCACAGATGCGACACATCCACTGGTGAAGGCGATCAATATTTTTACTAAATCAAATAAAGAAAATTATAAGGTGATTTAATTGAGAGAATCAGAGACTCAATCTCTTACAAAGCCTTCTTCTTGACAATTTTCTCTTTACAAAAAACCCCCAATAGTTTCCCTCTATTTTTTCTCTTTGCACTTTCTCTCTCTACAATTTATCTCAATAAGAGATGATAAACCCAAAAGTGCACCATGTATGGCCTACTTTTTCTACACATGTTTTCTCTCTATAGAAAAGCATATTTATATCGAGAGAATAAAGCCCCAAAGACAATTACGTCAAACCAATCTCA